CAGCTTTTAGCCAATGAGTTCCGAGAAGAATCTTGATCAAAATGGGGAAATGTAAAACAGAAGTATCAAGCGATCATGAATTCTTGATTTCCTGGAGACATGAAGGTTGGATGAACCCCTAATGTTGCTGCCTTAAAATAATTTTTAAACCTTGAACCAAGTCTATCCCCTAACATCTGACCATGGGCCACAAATGTGACTAGCCTTGCTAACACGCAGAATGCCGTGGAAAGTGGATTGTTGCAAGTGCAGTTAGGTTACAATTCAGCAGTCCATCATTTGATCTACCTTATGAGCCACTTAAGTTAGCGCTAGTTTTTAATATTTTCTGCTTTCTTTTTGATTGAAGTTTTTATCTGTTTTACTTATTCTTGTTATTTTGTTGTCGTTTGTGTTTTAATGTTTTTCTATATATGAAATTCAGTACAGGGAAATCTATAGCGCTAATAACTGGAGTAATGATTCCTTGGGGATATGGCAAGGAAGGTTGGGCGCAATGAGCTAATAACTATGAGTGCAAGATGACAGAAAATGTGCTAAAATTGATGGTGGTGATGATTGTACCACTCTTCCTGATGTGATTGAACTATTGATTGTATGGTATGTGACTTATATGCCAATAAGACTGGGCAGGGAGAAATTGACACATTTATATAAGGGCAATGAAATGAATTTTTTTTTTTGCTAAAACAAACATAATATTCTTTGTACATAATTTGCTTTTATAATATAAATCATTTTTGTTTTTAAAAAAGTGGGATAGGAGCAGAAACACTGAGCAGGCATCCAGCAACCCTGGCTGTCTCCTCTAACACTCTCTGACTTTGGGTAGAGCCCTTCGTGTCTCTGAGCCTCTGATTCCTTGTTATTAAATTCCTCATATCAGACTACTGGCTTCCATGTTATTAATTATTAATGACAGGGTTAGTCTGGGTGACCTCTCACACCCCTCCAGCTCGGTTCTAGGATTGGAAAACAACGCCAAAAGGTGTTTGGCAGAGGACCTTTGGCATCTGGACTCTTTTATCTCCGTGTTTAATGAACCCATTGTAATCGATGCATTTTGATTCATCAAAGCCATTCCCGAGCTGTTTGGCTGATGCCGGTGCCACATGAAAGGGAGAAAGAAATGGGGGGTGAGTCATTTGGATTTGCAAAGGGGGCCCTCATTTCCTTAAGGACTAGCAATAGATGGGTTAATTCCATAACCCCAGATTTTAAAATAACAATAATTAATACCTGGGACAAATTCTTTTATGTAAGGTGCTCAAAGGGCTTTGTGGTAATTAACCCATTAATTTACCTGCCTCAAGCCATCGCGAGGGCCAGGTAGAACTCTCCTTAGAAGACTAACCAAAGGAAAACATTACAACATTGAAAGCAGACTGTGTCTAAACAGCCTGAAGGGGGCCCACGGGGATTCCTTTCTTCCTTCATGGGGGTGGGTCACTCGAAAGAGTTATCCTGGAAAAATTAAATGGGGAATTCTCCTATTGTTCTACGGGCAGCAGTTTAACCACTCACTAGGCTTCCTGGGTGAACCCTCATGGATGTCTCTTGTGTCATCTGGAAAACCCTTTGGCAGCAGTATAACCACTCACTAGGCTTCCTGGGTGAACCCTCATGGATGTCTCTTTGTGTCATCCGGAAAACCCTTTTTACCCTTAGTTTCAACTTTTGATGGGTCTGCATGGTTTTAGACAAACTTTAACTCTGCCAGAGCAAACAAAGGGGAAGATTCTTGTCCTTAGAGTTTTCTACTCTCAAAGGAGAAAATGGGCTTTTTAAAAGTTAGAGAATCTCTCAAGATAGAGCACCCCTTGAATCTGTTGAGGGTTTATGAAGTTCCTGACTTAGTTGCAGGTGATTTCCATGAGAAGGCATGTCGAAAGACCATACTACCAAAAAGAACCTTCCACAAAGGCCAGGGATTCTACCATTAGAATCATCCGGTCAATCCATCCATCCATTCATCACTTAAGAAGTTCCCTGCACGGGCCCAGGTGCTCTGGGAGCAAGGATGTGGGGCCTGACCCCCAGACAGTGGTAAATCTCATCAGGAAATGCAGTTCATACAAATAAAATAGCAGGGAATGATTCAGGATAGAAAATAAATTTCTTGTAAATTTAATTAGGGCCGGCCCTAAGTGTTCTAGGGTTCATGATCAGTGAGACCAGCGTGAACAGGGAAAACGTCTCAGAAGACATAAGAAATAGGGACTGCCTTGAAGCTGTGTTATATGCCTTTCTGTCTTTCGGTATATGAAACCCAGGATTGATGAGCCTATAGGGACAGCAAGTAGGATAAGGGGTTGTTGGGGAGGAGGGTATAGTGGTAGGGAGAGGGGAAAAGGGAAACGTTGTCAAGGAGTCCATGTAGAAAAACAAAGGTTGGAAATTGACTGTGGTAGCAATTGTACAATTCCACTTGATGTGATTGAAATATGGAATGATATGTTCTATGTATTAAATACTCTCAACTAATTTTTTAAAATGAGCAATTTACCTTTAAATAAAAATAAGTAAGAATGTAAAAAAATGAAAGAAAAATAAGAAGTGGAGGCTATATTTAGGTGGGTAAACAGGATAGATGGAAATTAAGCAAAAGGCACTTCAGTAGAGGGAAACATCTTTAAAAAGGCAAGTAGGTAGGCGCTTGTTTCTTTGTGAGACCAAGGAGGTCTAAGCGGGCCTGCAGATCTGAAAGAAAGAAAGGTCGGATGGGAAAAGTAAGGCTCGATCCTGAAGCATGCTGAAACCAGACTACTATGGTTACAGTGCAGTGTTCCGGTCTTCGACGTCCACTGCGGAAATACAAATGTCCAGGAAGAGAACCGAGGAGCGAATTTGGGAGAGCAGTTGGCATTACCCAGACACTGACCTGGGATCCTTGGTACTAAGCTCCCCTTGAATTGTGAGTTCTTTCATCTGGAAACCTAGAACTGTCCTGTCAAATGAGAGCCAGGCGAGCGCATTCTGGTGGAGGTGAGGCAGGCAAGGCCAGAGGGGGATGATGGGCAAAGCCCGGGGAGTGCCAGAAAGGACTGGTCCATTAGGGGCCCACGCGTGATCAACAGATGGCATCTGCAGAAGGATTCCCCAAAGAGAAGTCAAGTGGAATTTCTTTTGTGGAGAATTTATAATGTTGTCCACTGTTGACTGTTTTCATGCATGTCATCATTTCTGTGGGCCTGCGAAGAGCCCTGTTGGGGTAGTGGGTTAGAAGCCGGGCTGCTCTACGAACGGTAAGGAGGAAGATCAGACTTCTCCTCGACAGTCTCAGAAACCCACCGGGACACAACTCTATCTTGTGCTTAGGTTCAATGTGAATCTGGATCAACTCGATGGCAGTGAATTTTGAATCTTTCGTGGGCCAATAAGATTCTTATTCGTTTGTTCAACTAGATACGCTTTGGGATCCCACACTGAAAACCCAGATGTGGGCAAGTGTCTAGAGATGGCTTCTCTAGAGAGTGTGTCAGAAAAAGAGAGACGTGTCCGTAAATGAGGCCACATGGAGGCCTGTGGTCGCTTCCGGAGCTCCTGAAGAATACAGGGAATACAGAGTCCCTAAATTCATAGCCTTTCAGAACCCTGAGGCCAAGGGGCCTCTGGGTAGCAAAAGAATGGGGAAAAACACAATTGTTCTCAGCAAAAACTACCTGTAGAAAAGTGGCTGAGAAACTGGAATAGGTGTGTCTTTCTGTCCTTCCGGTTCTTTTTATAGGGGCAGGAGGAACGTGAGTGAGGGCCTGTCCGTCTTCCGCCCATCTGGGGAGAGATTAAAGAAGCTGACGCTGTCTCCTCCTTACTCATTGGCAGTCACAGCCTCGCCGACAGTGCAGCTCCGCGGCCAGAGTGGACACAGAGGAGGTAAGTCGGAGGCCAGGGCCGTGCCCTCAGCCACAGAGCTGGATCAGTCCTGGCTTGAGAAGAAGCGGGGGGAGGGGGGGGGGCTCCAGGGTCTATGTGGGATGTGTTCCCAGACTCCTCAGTTCAAGTCAAAAACTTCGTGGTTAAATGGTCCAAGAAGTTATTTGAGGTTTTCTATAGTGCTTTGATTTACAAAGAGTAGGTGCCTGATACTCCCCTTCTTGCACTGAGAAGACTTGAACTGAATGAAAAGAAGCGACCGTCACAAAAGTGACTGAGAATAATCACCTGCCTGTGTCCTTCAAGCCGTGCAGCAGTGTCTAAAATGACCCAATGGTCCATCAGATGGCACCTCTTATACGGGCGCCTGATTTCCATCCTTCATAGCAGCATTGGGATGTTCTTTTTATGGAAAAGATTCGGCACTCGCCTGTCCAAATCCTGGGTGGAAACTGACGCAGACAGGGACGGGTTGTCTAGAGCTTCCGAGAGGAGCTGCTGCTTCTTTTCCCAGCGAAAGGATGGAGCTCAGCTAGTTTGGAACGTTCTTAGTCATTTTCCAATGTCCTCTACCGACTTTCCTTCCCCAAGAGTTGTAGTTTGGGGTGAAACAGGTGTGACAGATGGGAGTTCTGGCGGCACCGTGGTTGAAGCACTTGGCTGTGCACCAAAAGGCAGCGGTTCGAGGCCACCGGCCACTCTGCAGGAGAACGCGGTGACAATCTGCTTCTTGGTGACCGCCGCACCGGGCAGTTCCCCACCCTTCTCTTGGGTTGCTAGGAGCCGCCGCCATCTCTAGAGGAGCGGGTTTTCATATAGGACCGCGTTCCCGTCCCTTCGGACCATGTTCATAGAGACTTTTGTGTTGTTGTGGGGGCTGCTGTGTTCTCTAGGGAAGCAAACAAACAACAGCTCTCTCCATTGTGCTGCTAACAGTTTGAGGAAAGTCGTTTTTCTCAATTTGCCCCAGAGGTCCTTCATTTGGAATGCGAGCCATGAAAGGGTCCTGCCCAGGGCGGCTCAAAGGTGTTCACGGACGTGAATATAAAGTGCTAAGTGTGTCTCACCTTTTTTGTTCCTATAGGGGATCCGAAGACCATTCTCTTGGGGGCCACCTAGAAGTCACCATGTATGAGGACTGCATTGATTCCACTGGGGACTTTTACCTCCTCTGTGACACCGAGGGGCCCTGGGCCATTGTGCTGGAGGCCCTGGCAGCCGTCGGCATAGCGGTTACGATTTTGCTGCTCTTGGCATTTCTGTTCCTCATGCGGAAGGTTCAAGACTGCAGCCAGTGGAATGTCCTCCCCACCCAGTTCCTCTTCCTCCTGGGCGTGCTGGGGCTTTTCGGCCTGGCGTTTGCCTTCATCGCCCCGCTCAATGATCAGACTGCCCCTGTACGCTACTTTCTCTTTGGGGTACTTTTTGCTCTCTGTTTCTCGTGTCTCTTGGCGCATGCCTCCAACCTGGTGAAGCTTGTCCGAGGGAGAGTCTCCTTCACGTGGACAACACTCCTGTGCATTGCTATTGGTTGCAGCCTGTTGCAGACGATCATTGCCATTGAATACGTGACTCTCATGATGTCCCGATGCATGATGTTCAAGTATCTGACGCCCTATCAGCTCAACGTGGACTTTGTCGTCCTCCTGGTCTACGTGCTCTTCCTGATGGCCCTCGCGTTCTTTGTCTCCAGTGCCACCTTCTGTGGCCCGTGTGACAACTGGAAGCAGCATGGAAGGATCATCTTTGTGACTGTGCTCATCTCCATCATTATCTGGATCGTGTGGATCGCCATGCTCCTGAGAGGCAACCCGCAGTTCCAGCAGCAGCCCAAGTGCGACGACCCGGTCATCTGCATTGCTCTGATCACCAATGCCTGGGTTTTCCTGCTTCTGTACATCGTTCCTGAGCTCTGCATCCTCTACAGGTCATGCCAGCAGGATTGCCCTGTACAAAGCAGCGCCTGCCCAGTGCCAGTCTACCAACGCAGCTTCAGAGCAGAGAACCAAGAGCTCTCGAGAGGTACTTCCCCGGGGGCTTCGGGGAACAGCAAGGTTCCCCTGTGGGAGGAACAGGAGGGAAATGGGCCGTCAGATGAGCTCAGAAGGAACAGAAAGGGAATGGGTCAGATTTTCAGTAGGTGGCTTAGTAGTTCAGGCATGGAGGTGGAAAAGCTGGGAACCAAGAGTAGACTTCTTATGCAAAATTCGTTTCTTCCAAAATGCAGAGCTATATGGGGAGGGACTAAACCAGGAGTGAATCAAAAGCTCTAGGTCAGGAGGGTATGGCTCTGAGTGCCCCGGCTGGGTAAAGCACCACTATAAAATGTGTTCACCAGCCACAAACGAGGCTTGGCCTGTGCAATTACAGGCCATACAGTGATTGCGTCCAGCTGCTTTGGCCTATAGTGCGATGTCACTGCTGGCAACAGCAAGGGGCCTTCTAAAAAGTAAGGCTCAAAGCTAATTTACCAAAATAGAATAATAAACTGGTTCAGAGGGTTCAGTACTTCCTTAACATCACAAAACCCACTAGCTTCCAGATTTCTGCTTTTCAAACCCTGCGTGGCTTAAACCTCTCCGAGGGTCACAAAAAGTGGCAGGATTGCTGAGTTTCATTGTGACGCCCAAGTCAAGGTCCCGATACAGTCAGTAGCAGGCGTCAAACAGCTTCCTTGTGCGACATCTTCATAATAACTTCTGGGCCGTCTTTGGATCCTTATGTAAGACCCATCCACCTGACTACATTTTGTTAGTAGTAAGATACATTGTCCATGACAGCAAGGATGCTTGGCTCCCAGAACCTGGAAGAAATAGTGACTAATTGCAGTTTTCTGGAAATATGTCAAAACTCATTAATTCCTTTCTGAAACATCTGGCCTATTATTCATAACCCAATATCATAGTTTTGCATCAAATTTTGTGTCTTGATAGGCATCTGATTTCTCACAATTTAGTTCTAATGTGCAAAAATGATGTTATTTGATATAGTGTACAGAGCATATAATGTTCGCTAGACTCAAAAAAATTAATAGAAGCTTTCCTTTTAAGTACATGCACTTTTTTGAGCTGCAATTTATGGGTGATTACACATTCAAATTAAATCCTGTTCAGATAGATGCATCCATTAATTCGTTTCAGCTCAGTTGACCAAGAGTCAGAAATGATCACCATCCATGCTACCCATAAAAGCTTTTAACTGCTTGCTGATGATGCATAATCAAGCCACGGAGGTTTGTGATCGAATTGCCGAGTCAATCTTTCTTGAAACTGGGTCTTCTAGTTCTCAGCAGGAGATGGGCTAAAACTGCTTACATTCGTTTGGGTTTTATAAGTATGTTTTCATGCGACAAAAAAAGTCAGGGAGAGTTCTAGGAGTTTCATAACAAATTGATACACCTTAGGAATTGCAGTGACCAATATTCAGGTCCCCCAAATATTAGGGGAATGTTTGAAACTTAAGGCGTATCTATCTTTGAGAGCAAGGGCGTGGCAAAGTACAATTTTACATGATTTGTTTGGGACTATGCTTATTATCCAAGCATGGTTAGAAAAATACTACTCTGCAAATGGTAATCAATGCCAATGTGGCGAGGCAGCTGGTGAATATATATGTACGTATATGTTCTTGACTATACTATTATAGAGCTTTTATGTATACAATATATATTTTCTTTACAACACTCTTATATATAATAGTGTAGCTATATTATATATGTATACAAAATAGTGTAGTAAAGAACATGGATATTATTCTGAGATGAAGCAGAATCACCAGAAACTTAATCTCAGAAACTAGAACCAGAATTTAGGTAACCTGGGGAAAGTAAAATATAAAAAACTAGAAGCATGGATACAACTTAATAACAAGTACAAGTTTATACCTAAGTAGGGAAAACAGACAGGTCGTTACAGAATACTGAGAGTCAGGAAAGTATAGACATCAATAGCAATAACTTGAAACACCCTAGGGGTTTCCATAGGTCATGAACTGACAGTGGAAAAGCAGGTTGGCAGCGTCCTTGGCTATGTTTGCTCAAGAAACAAGCCCCCCCCACTCTCCCCCCATAAAAACCACCACTGACCAGTTGATTCCAACTCACAGCGACCTGCTGAACAGAGCAGAACTGCTGCTGTTAAGTTTCCGAGATGCTAAACCTTTACAGGAGCAGACAGGACAGCCTCACCTTTCTCCCTCAAAGAGGCTGGTGAGCTTGACCTGCCAACCCTGTAGTTAACAGCTTCATCCACTAGCCCCCAAGGGCTCCCATTCTCTATGGACAGGCAGGCGGTCAGCAAAAACAGACTGCTGCTGGACTCATCACGGCCCGTCTCTAAGGAGACTGCCCTTCCAGTTGTAGGGACCACTAATGCGAAGTGTGGAGAACGTAGGGAGGCGCTGCGGAAAGCCACCGAGATGATTAAAGCATCAGACCTATGTGGGCAGGTTAGGACCACGAGACCGCGGTGGCAGTTCTTAAATGCTCTGTACCTTTCTCCTAGCCCCAGTCTTTTATGTCTATTAGAAAGGCGCGGAGCGCTGAAGAAGGGGCCGCTCTGTATTCGGTACTAAACCATGACATTTTTCTTGGGGCCATGAAGAGCCCATTAGTCTTGTGATTCCTCTGGTTTATCGTTAGTCGGTCACCACTGGGCAATGGGAACCAGGCGCATTCGACTGAGAGAAAGCAAGGACCCGGTGAGCAGCAGGCAGCTTCACAGCTAGGAAGCCCTCTCGGAGTAGCTGCTGCCCTGGTGCTTTCTAACGCCAACTAAAAGTCATGGGGGCACTTGGACTCAAATCAAAGCTGGGGGGATTCAGATGAAAGATGAAAATAAGAGTTGGTCAGCACTGAAAGCGATCAGCAAAGGGGATTAAGGAACTCTTTCTCTGAGAGTCTCTAAAAGGAAGATTAAGCTTTATCTTTCTGAAGTGGTTTAAGGACTTAATTCCAAGATCCAAAAACATCTGGATGGAAAATTAAAATGCAACCAAGCAAGTCACTTCAGAACCTCAAACAAATGGCTGTAAATATTCCTTGCCCCATGCTAGAAATTTGTTCTCGAAAGACTATAGAGTAATTGAACTTTCAAAATCACTTGCTCTTTCAACCAAGTGTTTCAAATCTGGTATGATTGGCAGCGGTCCTCAGCATAAAAGAAAGAAAATACTTTCTTTTCATTATTGTCTATTTCATCTGCTTTCAATTTATTCAAATGTTGTTACATCCAGTTTGCTAAAAGCAAAGATCCATCTTTATTGGCAAGTTTCACATCGCTGCCTGTCATTTCGCACCCAGTATTTGAGTTTGGACAAGCTGGTGTGATTCCTTCTTAAAGTACTAGACAAATGCACTCACTGAGTCCACATCACATAAAAATGGGCCAATGAGGTGAGCCAAGAGAAAACTATTCACGGAGGCTTGCGCTGTTCTGGTTGTTTTCCTTGACATACCCACCTTTGGGTGAATGTAGGCTTTTTAGATAGGGCTCCATATTTTCCCCTCTCCAAGGCATCCACTTTATCTGAGGGAACCAAATTTGAATGGTCCCAAGCAGTACAGTATTTTTGTTGTTCTTCTTCAGTGAAAAAATCCCTCTGTCTGTCTGTCTGTCTGTCTGTCTCTCTCTCTCCCTGAAGAGTCATAAAGAGAGGAGTGAAATAAAGAGATAAAGCAGGGAAGATGACCTTGAGCCAAGGCACAATTCGGTTGATCAGCATGGGGCCAGGTAAAGCCAAGGGAGTGGTGTTAACACAGATTCCAGAAGCGTCAGCATAAGTAGGCACAGGGGGCCGTACAAAGAATAGTCTGGCCTCGCGTGCCGAGTCTGAGCCTCAGCTCTGCGTCTTGTGAACTCTGAGACCCAAACCAAGGTCCTCAGCCCCTGGGAGCCTCCGGCCCCTTGTCCCTGCCTCAGAATCAACTCCGTCCAAGGCAGTGAGTGAAACCTTCTCTCTCTATAAATGCACTTGCTGTTAGGTGCCATTAAGTCAGTTCCGACTCACAGCCGCCTGAGAACAACAGAGCCACACACTGCTCCCTCCTGCCCGATGCTCACAATTGCTCTTATGCTTGAGCCCACTGGCACAGCGACTGCGACAGTCCACCCCCGCACCCGTTGAGGACCTTCTTCTTTGGCACTGCCCCTCTACTTTACCAAGCCTGAAGTCCTTCTCCAGGTGTCAGTCTCTCCTGACCACATGTCCAAAGTGGGTGAGCTGAAGTCTTGCCATCCTGGCCGCTACAGAGCATTCTGGGCTGTACTTCTTTCAAGACCAATCTGTTCGCTCTCTTGGCAGTCCATGGTACTTTCAATATTCTTCACCAACCCATAGTTCAAACGCATTGACTTTTCTCCCGTCTTCTTTATTCAATGTCCGACTTTCACATGCATCTGAGGCTTGGTGATAGAAATGAAGTGGGAGGTCACATGATAGAATTTCGCAAGACCAACAACTTCTTCATCACAAATACCTTTTACAACCATACAAAAGGCAACTATACACATGGACTTCTCCAGAGGGAATACACCGAAACCAAACTGGCCACATCTATGGGAAGGGATGATGGAGATGCTCAGTACGAGCAGCTGAACCAGGCCACAGGCAGACTATGGGACAGACCATCAACTACTCATCCGTAAGTTCAAGTTGACGTTGAAGAAAATACAAACAATCCGTGAGTCACAATACGACTTTGAGTATATTCCACCCGAATTCGAAGAACATTTCAAGAAGAAAGTTGAAGCATTAAACACACATGACAGAAGACCCGATGAGCTGTGGGAGGACTCCAAGAACATCATACATGAAGGAAGCAAAAGGTGGTCATTAGAAAGACAGGAAAAAAAGAAACGGTAAAAGGGATGTCAGAAGCGACTCTGAAATTTGCTCTGAATCAGAGTAAAAACACTCACTGCCATTGAGTCGATTCTGCTCACAGAGACCTCATAGGACAGGCGAGAACTGCCCCTGTGGGTTTCTAAGACTGTAAGTCTTTAAGAAAGTAAGAAAACCTCACCTTTCTCTCACAGAGTGGCTGGTGGTTTCAAACTGCCAACCTTCTGCCTAGCAGCCCAACACGTAACCATTGTACCACCTGGTAGAATAACTAAGGCAAATGCCAGAAGTGATGAAGTCAAAGAGCTGAGCAGAAAGTTTCAAAGGGCCGCTCAAGAAGACAAGTAAAACACTATAATGAAATATGCTAAGGCCTGGAGTTAGAAAGCCAAAAAGGAAGAAGATACTCAGCATGCCTTAAACTGAAAGAAGTCAAGCCGTGGGTTGCAACACTGAAAGAGTCAATGGGCCAAATATTGAATGATGCAGGAAGCATCAGAGGAAGATGGAAAGAATACACAGAGTCGCTGTACCAGCATTCCACCCTTTCAGGAGGTGGCATATGAGCAAGAACCCGTGGTGCTGAAAGAAGTTCACACTGCACTGAAAGCATGAGCCAAAAACAAGTTTCCAGGAACCGATGGGATCCCAGTTGAAATGTTTCAACAAGCTGTGGAAGCACGAACTCACTTCTACCAGGAAATTTGGGAGCCAGGTATTGGGCCAAATGACTAGATGAGCTCCATCTCTGTCATCATTCCAAAGAAAAGTGACCCAACGGAATGCGCAAGCAATAGAAATACTACGGCCATGTGGTACATTCATAAACAATAAGCAGTGCTGTAAGAATTCATTGATTGCTTTAGTTTATGACCCGATCAGATGAAGCAAGCTGTTGAATGAGAACTGGTGACCAAGGGACCGGGTGTGAAGGATGAAACCAAAGATCCATGCATTCTGCCTTGGAGCAACAAAGAGCGTGTCATGTGTCCCAGACGCTAACCCCTCTCAAAGAGTGCGACAAGCATTAATCATAGCTGTACCAACACCAATAACAATCATAATTCACAGTAGGTAGCACAGGTGGTGCTTTCTATAAAGCCTAAGGGCTTTACATATATTAATTGATCTAATCAAAGCAATATTATGAAATAGATGTATTATTTTGATTATCATCTTCCTTCTTTTTAGTCCCATCAGGAAACAAAGGCAAAAAAAAAAACAAACAAACAGGTCAAGAACTTGGCCTTAGGCAGCACAGTTAACAAGCACGAGTGGAGCAGGCCTGCTCTAGGCTCATGAGTTCAAGATGATAGCCTCTGCCTGTAAACATAGGTTATGGCTATGCTTGTGATCATCAGAACAACGGATACGTATGGCCGGTGCCTGGCCTTAGAGATGAAGTGGCAGAAAAGGAGACACAGTTTCCATCTTCGTGGGGTTTACAGTCTGGCTGAGGAGACAGATTAAATAATTGTGTGTGTGTGTGTGTGTGTGTGCGCGCGCGCGCGCGCGCACTTGTTCTGTGATTCTATGACAGTAGAGAATTAACTTTAAGAATCCTTTTTTTATTATCTCCAGTTTTAAAATTTGAATCAGACTTTGTAGTGTATGGAGCCTAAAGGAAAACAGACAATCTAGTTCTGTCTTTTCGCTTTACTGACCGAGAGGGAAAGGTGGCAAGGTCACAGAGGTTATGCTGAGAGAGCAAGGACTGGCTGACTCAGGCCTAGTGCTCTTTCTCCAGAAAGTGATGACTTTTCCGCCTCTTCAATTATCAAAGACAGATGCTCTTCTCTTGAACAATCTACAACTTTCTGGTATAAGGTGACCAGAAGTCCCGCTTTTGGCAGGACAGTCCTGATTTTTAACAATTTGTCCTGTGTCCCATGGTGTTTTTAAAAAGGCCCAATTTTTGGAAAGAATGCACGACAAGCTAGGGTAGACGGTTTTCGGCTGCCATGTGGCTATTTCGCCAGGATATGAGTTTGATCAATGGTGTCCCACTTTACCAATGCTAAAATCTGGTCACCTTATTCTTGCAGTGCAGTGAATTGCTTTACATGACCCTTCTAGCCATCATCTTTGAAACGCCCACCATATGACAGGGTAGGACTATGCAAATGTGCCATGCTATGGCCCACCCAGGGGACTGGATAGCTTATTAATATTGTCAATGAGGCACATGGCATCCTTGAGGGAGTGGGACAATGTGAGTTGGACATGAGTGAGGGGATGGGTTAGTTCTGTCACTCTACTTGGCTTAAAATGTGCCGCCCTGGAGGCCTAAAGTGGGGACCGTCACTACTATCAAGAAAGAAAAACCACGAGTGGGTTATGTTCTTTGGACCCAAGAACCCTGTGCTGAACATCGTCCATCCAGGGCCAGAGAAGTATGACCCCAGAGATGGCGAGAAAGCAGCCGAGAAATGGCAGTGGCCGAGGCTGCAGTTCCAAGAGACCAGCAGGAGACCGCTGCGGCCTTTCTGTCTCCCACAGTCAGAGAGCCGAGAGCCTTTGCAGGAGGCATGCCGGCCCAGGGGGTGCTCTGAGGACTTACTGACAGAGTGAAAGAGCATCGTAACAGTTGAGGAACTGGGGCAGAGCCTGAGGTTCAGAAAGAGACTTACCCTGTTTCCCCGAAAATAAGACAGGGTCTTATATTAATTTTTGCTCCCAAAGATGCGCTAGGTCTTATTTTCAGGGGCTATCTTATTTTTCCATGAAGACGACTACGGTCCACATTTATTGTTTATTGTTTTATTAAAAGAGACCTCCTCGCACTTCCTGTCTGCTCAGGCTGCACTGCGGCCAACAATGAGCTGCCCGGCGGCGCCCACCGCTATGGTCCAGAGTTACGGTAGCTTCAAGGGGTCTTGGTTTGGGGAGGTCTTATTTTCGGGGGGATGCCTTATATTTCAGCGAGAGGCAAAACTGTAAGTCGGTCTTATTTTCGGGGGAAGTCTTACTTTCGGGGAAGCATGGTATCTATGGGTACAGTGGAGAAGAGGCTGTCCTGATTGAAAAACTGTGTCCTGAGTGCTCCTGAACCTGAATTATACATGACCTGTTGAAAGAAAAACCTCGCTGCCATCAAGTTGATTCTGCCTCATAGCGACCCTACAGGAAAGAGTAGAAAGCTTCGTCTTTCTCTTTCGCTGATACACCTCATGACTCTGACCATGGCCTGTGAGTGCTGTCACCATAGCAACGAAGCATCAAACCCAGCCGTGCAGCAGAAAGTGTCCCAGGAGGGACGATCATTGTCAGAATTGGTTAAAAAATTTTAAAGATTGGAGGGTAGGAGGCACATTTGACCTTTGCCTTAAAGGCATCAGCCTAGATCGGCTGATGCTACTGATTTTTATTTCTCTTCTCCCCTTGAAGTTTAGAGGAGGTCAAGCACCCGCCGCCACTAAAGCTCACGGTCTCTCATCGAGTCTTAAAACATTCTCAAATCGTTAGATTATAAAAACAACAGCAAAACACAGAATTCCTTTTTCATATCGTCTTTTTCTTTCCTCCGAGGGTCAAGCCAGTGAGAGTTCTCATTGTCCTCGTGTGCCATTTCCACGTGAATCTCTGTCACTAACTCAGCCCTTCCCTCCTTTGGCTTTCAGCCCGAGACAGTGAAGGCGCTGAGGAGGATGTAGCATTAACTGCCTATGGTACCCCCACTCAGCTGCAGGTAAATGTGCTCATCTACTTCCACCTGAGCAAGCATTCTTCCTCAGGGCCGCCTTCGGGCTTCATTTCCCCTGGTGTTGAGCCACCTGAGAGAGGAGAGGCAGGACAGGATTATGCCCACAGTGTGATGTGCTTGTGCCATCCAGATGTAAGCCACACCAGAGCACAGGAACAGAGGCAAGCCGCCCCAGCCCTCTGCCCCAGCCAGGAAACGATCTATGTTCAGGCAGGTGAACATCCCAGCAAAGGAAGGCAGCTTGACAGGTTGGTGTGAGTGTGAAGGGGAGCAGCAGGCTCCCGCTTTTTTTTGCCTTGGGGACAACAGGGAATTGTTAATATGCATGAACGTGGGATCTGTTTTTAGAATCGGTTGTCGACATGTATGTCCAGAGCCTCTCTGGCTGCCTCTCTGCGTCATTGTCTCGCATTGTCAGCAGCCCAGGCGGACCCAAGAAGCAAGCGAGGTCCGTCGTCATCCTCTGGATGCCCAGATGGGTGTGACGGTGACCATCCTTTCAGGCAAGAGCGCAGGGAACACTGAGGAACTGCACTGGAAGCAACTCACACTTGTGTCGCGGTGGCTTGCAGACGCGCACATCCGGCGGCGCAGAGTACCAAACTGAGACACTGGCTCCTGCCCTAGGGGACCAAAAGTAACTGCAGTCTAAGAGCGCGAGTCGTGCTCAGACTGTTTCTTCTATGAACTCCACGAGACAGCCCTAACTAGGCAGATCCCTCGGGCACAGTACCTAGGACCTGGCCTTTTCCTGGAATGACCTGTGCATGCATGTGCAACTATGTCACGGGATCGGCCCTCGGGGAGGCGCTGACACGGGAGAAGACTCGTTCTTGTCCACTCCCTGCAGCTCTTGGGTTCATTCTGCACATCCAGCGGCCTGCCTGCTATTGCAGGGCCTTACTGGCTGAGGGAAAGCAGGCTCAGTAAAGAAGCGCCGCTGTGAGTAGGCTCAATATTTTCTTGGTGTTGTTTACTGACCAAAGATGAGATTGTTTCAGACAGTTCTGGAGGGGTCACCGCTTACGTTGGCTCAGACCGTTGACAGCGTATTTCCTTCCTTTCCAGGCTGTTGACCCCACACAAGAGGGTTTACTCCCACGGGCTAAACTGAGCCCCCAGCAAGATGCAGGCGTGTAAAGTCCACGGACAGCACGAGTGGTGAAATCCCAGAAGATGATCCTGGTAGTGCAACCCAGACGAGCCCCTGAGGATCCCAGACCACCACCTCATCTTTCTTCCTGCTTCCTCGCCTCTCCACCCATCAGGACGCTTCCTCACACGACTGCTCTTTCAAGTATAATTACAATCTTGCTGGCCACCCTGCCTTGACGGTGTCTCTTTCTTCATTCGCGTAACTGAAAACTGTCTAGCAATGCAAGAAGTTGGTGCCTCGCACTAACCAAATGACCCTGGGATAAAAAAAATCGGGGTCAGGACAAAAGTCAGTAGCAACATGCGACTGACTCACTCCTCTAGACCGTTTTTTGTGGTTGTTGTTTTTAAATCATTTTATTGGGGGCTCGTACAATTCTTATCACAATCCATACATCCATCCACTGGGTCAAGCACATTTGTACATTTGTTGCCATCATCATTCTCAAAACATTTGCTTTCTACTTGAGCCCTTAATATCAGCTTCTCATTTCTTCTCTTCCCTCTCCTACCCTCCCTCCCTCATGAATACTTGATAATTTATAAGTTATTATTTTTTCATGTCTTACACTGTCCAAGGTCTCCCTCACCCACTTTTCTGTTGTCCATCCTCCAGGGAGGGGGCTATATGTCGATCATTGTGATTGGTTCCCTCCTTTCTCCCCCACCTTCCCCTAACCCTCCTAGTATCCCTACTCTCACTATTGGTCCTGAGGGGTTTATCTGTCCTGGATTCCCTGTTTCCAGCTCTTATCTGTACCAGTGTACATGCTCTGGTCTAG